ATTGATGACTAGAATAAAAGCTCAAGCCATGGAATTAACCAAAGAAACGTTCTCCTACCGTGAAGAAGAGCGATTGCCTAGAGAATTCCGTGGTAAAATCGAAACGGGTGTGGATCGTAGGCCAGGGCTATGGCCACCAGAAAATAAAGCCGATAACCCTTCACTCAACAACCCGTTGGTTCGTCAAGAAAGAATGGGTAGTGGCTGGTTAGGGGTAATATTCGAGTGGGAAGGAGTTTTAGTCGAAGATAGTCCGGATTTAGAGAAGCAATCGTGGCTGTCCCTTTCGCAAGAAGAGGGCAAATCTCCACCGCCCACTTTCGTGCTCCGAAGAATCGAGGGCATGAAAAACGAGCAAGCGATCGGTGAGGTTCTTTGCTGGTCGAGGGATTCGAGCGAGCTAAAGAGAATGTCATCAAGAAAGGAGGAGATTTACCAGTCTTTGCAAGGCGGTGTGTATAGATTCCGTTCGGGTTCTCAAGCGTTTGTTAATGTTTTACTGCACCACAAAGTGCCGATGGCTTTAGTTTCGACTCGACCAAGAAAATCAATCGAGAGGGAAATTGAGGATATTGGGATCGAAGGGGTATTCAACGTAATTGTGGCGGCGGAGGATGTTTATCGAGGGAAACCGGACCCTGAGATGTTCGTTTACGCTGCGCAGCTTTTGCAGTTCATACCGGAGAGGTGTATAGTGTTTGGGAATTCGAATCAAACGGTCGAGGCGGCTCACGATGCGAAGATGAAGTGTGTGGCGGTTGCTAGTAAGCACCCCGTTTACGAGTTAAGTGCGGCGGACCTGGTGGTGAGGCGGCTCGATGAGCTGTCGGTGGTGGATTTGAAGGGGCTGGCGGCGGTTGAGTCGCCGGAGTTTGGGTCCGACGAGCCGGAGCTGGAGATGGAGGTTGAGGCGGAGGAGGAGCGCCGGTCTGCGCCGGTGGCGGTTTACGATGACGATTTCTGGTGATGGGATGGGATGAGTTGCGACGAAGAATGTACAGAAGGGTTAGTCCTTTGAAACTAATTCTTGGCCACAATTTTACGGCTGATGTTTATTTATCTTTTTTTATCACGTTTGTATAAAGAATAGGAGAATCGAATAAGGGTCGAAAAATGTTGTAAGGAATAGGATATGGAGAAGGTTGTCTGAATTGTAATTTGTATGTTGTTGTATGTATAAAAGTACACTGGTTAAAGTTCTTATATATTTGTTGAAAATTTGTCATGTTTGTGTTTATTGAATTTGGTTTACGTATCCTGTATGATTTGCAAGTTATTATAATTATATGAAAGTGTAGGTTTATCCAGCACACCTGTATGGTTGGCTGTATAGTTGGCTGCACCTGTATGGTTGAGTATGGTTGTGGTTGAGTATGGTTGACTGTGAGTTTCTTCATTATTAAAAAAAAAAGGAAAAATTGTATACGTACATACATATTTTTACTAATCGATTCCGGTTGTAGCTTAACTTTGTGTTAAACTATCAAGTTAAAACGAACTTCTACAATTGATCTCGAATAAAGTTGAGTGTCGGTTAGTTATTTCAGTTTCAATTTAACTTGCTAGATCTTGAAGAAAATCGACCGATGATTGTTTGTTTCAGTTTCAATTTAACTTGCTAGATCTTGAAGAAAATCGATCGATTAATTATACAAGCACCATGGCCTATTCAGTCCGATGGCAGCCGTCGAGTAAAGATAAGCGTACCGTTGCAGTAGCGTAATATACAATTTCGTTTTCTCTAAAATCCAATTAAGCACGTCTTAACATTCATAAATCAATTGTCAAACATTGATTGATTATGACAACCCAAAATTATTTCAAATTTTTTTTTTTTTTTGAAAGATAAAATGTGTAAAGTATTTGTTGTGTACAAGTTTGAACTCCATTTCAAAATTGAACGAAATAGCAAAGACTAATCTATTCCATATTTTTGTCTTTTGGGAAAGGGAATAGAGGGTTGTGGATTTTAACTAATAATAAGAAATAGATAAACAATTCTAGGAGTTGACGAACAACTTTTTGTTACGGCTCAATTTTCTCGTCCAGAACCCATCGATGGTGGCACCAACAACCCAGCACAAAGTTCAGTCATCGAAGCTCTAGATTTTGCAAGAATCACTTAGAGTTCTGGCCAAGTCTCTCATCCAAACCCCACCTCCCACAAATTTAAATTCTCTCGTGTTTCCTCCATTCAAAAGTGGATCTCACAGGCTCACCGAAGAACATGGATTTCAGAAATCAAATGGAGATTCAAATTGTGTGTGTTGTTCTTCTCTCTCTGCGTCTCTCTCATCAGGCGTTTGATATATAGATGGAAAATGTATGATGGCTCTAAAACAGAGAGCAGAAAAAAGAAGTAGACGTCGTCATGGTAAAAAACGACTGTGTCGCCGGAAAATACCAAGAGGCATTCAATGCGGTTGTACGAACAGATGATAGAGAGGGAAAACAAGATGGGGATGTATAACTCGAAGTGAATGGCTCGAATCACTTATTGAAAATGAATGGTCAGGATCAAAACTCTCGGAACTACCAAGGTTTGACCTGACTAGATTAAGTGCAATTTGGTGCAATTTGGCTTCGTTGTTGGGACGCCTTAAATGTAAATGGTTAAATGGACCGGATATAAATAATCTATTTGAGCCCAACAATATCATCCGGTCTATTCTATGACTGCATTTGAATATTCCTCCATACTAATTGGTGTTTATTTTATTATTTACTTTCTTGGCTAACGTAATTGCATAGCTAACTTTTCAATTTAATACAAATTCTTTTATAATTTAGTAATCTATTTTGCTATGATTACGTCATAAATTACGTGTTGCACTTGTGTTTTTGCTAGTTACATTGCCTAATATTTAATTAATAGATTAATTTTTTATCTTCTTTTTTTTGTAAATAAAAGCCAATACTTGGTTTTTCTCATTTAACACGCCAAAATGTTTTATAGTAAATTAGTATTCCTTTTATTAATAATATTTTTAATTTAAAGGGGTGGAGCTCCCAAAGAAATGATTAAAGTAAAAAGGAAAGAATATTCCCATTTTTGACTTTTAAGTTATTTATTTACATATTTTCTTGCCCTTGATAGTGGACGGCCATCATTGTTGCAAACCTTTACGATGTGATGACGTGTCATACGACAAGTGGAATGGACCACAGTAGTAAGAGTGGATATAGCCACACCATATAATTGCCCCCGTGCCCCCTCCACCATTCTTTTTCCTATTTTTAGTCCTTTCTTCTGTAAATGCTAGTGTATGAAGTAAAATACGCCACTCTCTCTCTCTCTCTCTCTCTCTCTCTCTCTATAATTCGCCTGAGCAAAGCACCGGAATTTCTCGTGCTGGTTTCCTGAGGCGGCAATTAAGGTATTTTTTTCCTGTTAATTAATCGTTTTTTTTTCTTCTTCTCGCAGTTCATCTTCTACTTATCGCGCCGCTTCGGATTTTGATTATTGTGTGTGTGTGTGTGTGTGTGTGTGTGTGTGTGTGTGTGTGTGTGTGTGAACTACACTGATTTATTTCATTTAACTGTATTTAATTGAGTTCAGCATTTATGAAAAAGTGTAATTTGAGATTTTGCCCTCTATTACTTATCCGAGTAATTGTTGTTTGTTCTTCTACTGCATGAGACACAGATTGATTGTTAATCACTTGTATGTATTTGAAATCTGAATTTGCTCAATTTTTTGTTATAATTGGACTATTTAATTTTAATTAGTCATATAATTGGTTCTGCAGTACAGCATTGTGTACTTCATTCTGAGTATATCCTTGTTAATGTATGAAGTTGGCACGGAATTTTTTTTTCGGTTGCAACAAAATCATTGTATTTGGTGGTCTTTTTACTTTATAATGGTAGACTATAATTTTTTATTTTTTATTTGGAACATATTTCGTGAAGTATAAATGATTTTATATGGTGGATTTTTCAGCTAGTAGCCATGGCGTTGATGTCCCATCCTGGTGCATCACCGTGCATTCACACGGAGGCTGTGCAGTGTAAAGCTAGAAATTATGGAGTTAATAGCTTTACAAGCACAATGGAGTCGGCCAAAACTAAGGAGATTTTCTTCGGTTTGCGTTCGCCTTCGTGGAGTTCACTGAAGGTGGCCCAAAAATGGAGTTCAGACAGCACTGAAGTGGGACAGAGGAGAGGGCATCGGGTAACTGTTGCTGCAAGTCCTCCGACAGAGGATGCCGTTATTGCAACAGAGCCGCTTACGAAACAAGATCTCGTAGATTATCTCGCTTCTGGCTGCAAGCCTAAGGACAAATGGAGGTTGAAATTCTAGCCCTTTATTGGCATTCGTTATTAATTCTATATTTTATGTGAAAGGATAAATGTATAATCAGGGTTCAATATGTCTATTAAATCTGCTACCGCAATTTATGTGTCAAATTCTACTTAAGGCATTTTCTGTGGTGAAACAAGCAGTTTTTGTTTGGGATTATATACCAAACTTATTGTGCTTCAATTGTTTTTATTACATTAAGCATGAAGCTGCTGACTATACTTAGTTTTCCTTACCGTTACCGTTTATTTGGCGGCGAGAAAGGGTCAAATTCACACTACACTAATCTGAGAACATTTTATTTGTTTGTTTCGAGTTCATTGAGTTTTTTCTTTTTTTTTTGGTTGATATTGAAGTTTTCAATTTTTTTGTTCCTTAATGTACCTTTTTTTGGCCTGGAATCTAGCATCATTATATGATTTTGAGCATATCTCATGACTCGGCCTTTCAAATTATACGAGGGTGGGATTCTGTTTCATGTCAGAAATGTCAACCAACAGTGTTGCTGGTTCTTTTCTTTGGAGTTCTGTATTTAATTGTTGCTTGTGCATTTGTTGGATGGTTCATATTACTAGTAGTTTGGCATCTAATACAACCATATTATCGGTTCACACCAGGATAGGTACTGAACATGAAAAATTCGGTTTTGAAATCGAAACGTTACGACCAATGACATACGAACAGATATCAGATCTTCTTAATGGTATATCTGAGAGATTTGATTGGGATAAAATAATGGAAGGTGAATATATTATTGGACTCAAGCAGGTATCTCCTATTCCTCTCCTATTTTTATTTTGATGTGTGGTTCACTTCTGCTCTCCTTTTGCTCTGTTATTTCAAACTTTCTGCATAGATTACGGATGTATAAACCTAAATAAATGATTGCTACAGTAGATTCATGATTGCCCTGTTAATATGAAAAACATGTTACTGGTTCCTATGGTACATATGGAAGATTAAATTAATACCGAGACCAAATATTATCTTTCCTGTTTCTTGAATGGGTGCTGTTACAACGTGTTTTGAAATTACAAGTCCCCTTTGTTTCTCTCAATGAATTTTTTACCTAAAGTTTATTATTGATATTGGCAGGGAAAGCAAAGCATATCTCTAGAGCCTGGGGGCCAATTTGAGCTTAGTGGGGCACCTCTTGAGACTCTGCATCAGACTTGTGCTGAAGTCAATTCTCATCTTTACCAGGTTAGTAGACTTGTTCTTACGGTAAAAGTTGATGTTTCAATTCTCTAAAGGTTCTGATTTAGCTTTGGGAAACACAAAAATGCATGTGTTTCTTAAATTGCGTCTGGATAATTACAGTTTTGCATCGCTTATGATACGTTTTTTCCACTTTATCTTCACGTTGAAGAATTACTTACTTCGGTAACTCGTTTCCTAGCATGCTGTAGTTGTACTCAAGTTAGTGCGAGATTATTGGTTAGATATCATATCATGAACTCAAGCTTTTGATGCACCGCTTGGCTTTTACAGTTAGTCTGACTTGACATGTGTCTAAGTGCAAAAAAGTTCCAACAGAAGTGTAAACCATGCCTATGTACATCTTTTACAGCTTGTGTGGCTTTTTATTCTAGCGCTAGTACCTTTGTGTTTCTTCCATTACTTACGTAGCTTACGTCTTATGCTTCTAGTTATCTCACCATGAAATGTTTCTCTGATTTTCGGGTCAAATCTGGAGAATATTCTCTCTCTCTCTCCCTCAACAGTTGTTTTAATGAAAATTTCAGGTTAAGGCTGTTGCAGAGGAGATGGGAATTGGATTTTTAGGAATTGGATTTCAGCCCAAATGGAAACGTGAAGAGATACCGGTGATGCCCAAGGTAATGTCTATATCAATTCATTTATTTTGTTTTCATATTTAATTGAGGCAGCAAGTTTTCTGGTGTACAATGGAAGATTGGTGTCTGTGCATTTCAATGGACTATTGACTAGCTGGAAGCTAACTTTACAATTAGTGGATGCAAAATTTTAGATTCTTTTGCATGTTATGAAAATAATTCCGAAAATTAGTACAGTAGAAAATGTTTCAGGATATTGTATTTAAGCATCATAATCCATTTCTTTAAGTTATTGATATGAGTTGTTTGTTGTGTATTACAATTTTTCTCAATCTCATCCCTACAAATTACAACTCTATAATATCTGATGACCTGCTATGCATACTGACAAATTAATTTGGCTCAGGGAAGATACGAAATTATGAAAAATTACATGCCGAAAGTTGGGTCACTTGGACTCGATATGATGTTTAGAACATGTACTGTTCAGGTGAGTAGAATTTTAAACTTTCTCGTTCTGGCATCTTTCAGTACTTTCTTGATTTATGACCAAATTTTATTTGGAGTATCAACTATTTCCATTTTTCGGGATGCGATACTATATTTGTCTTTCGGTAAGCAGTTGTCCACTTTATCTTATACAGGTGAATCTTGATTTCCATTCTGAAACTGATATGATAAGGAAGTTTCGGGCTGGTCTTGCCTTACAGCCTGTAAGTTGGTCTTGTACTAGTTCGGGTTTTTTTTTTTTTTTTTTTTTTTTTTTTTGTGGAACCTAACATGTTTCTTAAACAGATAGCCACGGCACTGTTTGCTAATTCGCCTTTCACCGAAGGGAAACCAAATGGTTATCTTAGCATGAGAAGGTGGTTATGTCTATCCATGATTGAGCCTTTTCAATGTTTTTCATTTTTTCCTAACAATTGGTGTGAAATTCTGTTTCATACCGATTAAGGCTTTTGAGAAGTTAATTTCATGTAACAGTTCGTTTTCTTCCACAGCCAAATCTGGACCGACACTGACAATAACCGTGCTGGGATGCTTCCATTTGTCTTTGATGACTCTTTTGGGTAAGATACCTTCTGCATTCGACTCTTTGATTATGCAGATGGAAAATCTAATAATAATCAGAACTATCCTCAATTTTCCATAAAAAAATCATGTCTAAATCTATTTCTGCATGTGCTGCGAAAAAATATTATATAATGTGCTTTATGCTACGTTCTTGACATGATAACTAGAACTCAGACATGGAATCTCTTTGCTTTGCCATCAATGGATCATTATACGAAGTCAAAGAAATAGATGGGATTAGAGATATTAGTTATTCATGTTGATTGTCATGGTATATAAGTAAATTAAAAATAGTAGTTATTTTCAAAGACAATCAACTTTAGCTACTTTTTCCAAAATTTGGTTTAAATTACTGAGGTTTGGACAGGGAATCAGGGATCCATCCTATGTATTTTGAGCAGTTCTTGATGTGTCTGAATTTTGATAATTGAATCTATTTACCTGACCCCAGATAAGTATAGGAACAGGGTTTAGTTAGTTGTTTTGCGCAACACTATGGAAGCAAATATTCTGGTTAATTATGCATGCGCCTTGGAAAAATTGCTCGGTGCTTTTTTTTTTTTGCTGAACTAATAAAATCAGGAAAAGTCTATTGCATTTTTCGTATGTTATTTTTTTCTGAACATCTTAGAATTTGCGCATTTGTAGTCTCAATCTGAGGTATTAACGGGCTTTTTTTTTTTTGTGTTCTTAAACACGTTTATTCTGTTTTTCTGTACAGGTTCGAAAAGTATGTGGAATATGCGCTTGATGTTCCAATGTACTTTGTGTACCGAAAGAAACAGTATATTGATTGTTCTGGATTGTCCTTCAGGGTTTTTATCTGAACTTTATTCTTTCTCGATAAATCTCCTCAATTGTATAAATTCTATTGACATGTCACTATTCCTTTGTGAATCTGCTGCAGGATTTCATGGCAGGGAAACTTCCCGGTCTTCAAGGCGAATACCCGAATCTCAATGACTGGGAGAATCATTTGACAACAATATTTCCAGAGGTATATATTGTGATTAATTGGCTGAAAATGTACGCCATTTCATCTTTGATATTCTTTTCTTGATTTTCAGTATTATATTTTTTCCAGGTTCGGCTTAAACGGTACTTGGAGATGCGAGGTGCTGATGGAGGACCTTGGAGAAGGCTATGTGCACTACCTGCTTTCTGGGTATTTTATCTTAATTTTTTATAATTTACGACGGCAATTTAGAAAGTTGTACTTGCTAGTTCTTAATCAACTTACTAATGCATTTTCTTCGACATAGAAAGATGTTCTGGTTCAGCATTACTGCTGTTGCATGTTTTTATTATGTTTCATTTTAGCTATATTAGTTTATTTTGGTTGAAAATATAGCGATCTTACGGATAGTTACTGAATTTCAGGTGGGTATTTTATACGACGAGGTCGCTCTGCAAAATGTTCTAGACTTGACAGCCGATTGGACGAAAGAAGAAAGACAGATGCTTAGGAATAAGGTAATAAGTTCGGTTTCTTCTGCTGATATTTCTATAGTCGTAAGTCTTCTTTTATTACCATGAAGATTCCCTTGTTAATCCAAAACTATGTAGTAGGTACCGGTAAGTGGCCTGAAGACACCGTTTCGTGATGGACTACTTAAGCATGTTGCCCAAGAAGTTGTGAATTTCGCAAAGGTTATTTTTTTTAATATTTATTTTCTATTTTCCCAATTTCCTCGATTAATAGCTATTATCGATTTTTGTTCTATCGTTTCTTTGCTTATTCATTTGCACCGCTTTCTCTCTTAGGATGGCCTCGAGAGGAGAGGCTTCAAGGAAACAGGATTTCTCAATGAAGTGACTGAAGTGGTTAAAACAGGTAAGCATGATAGTAATATGCTTTTTTTTTTTTTCCTTTTTTTTCCTTTTTTTTTTAAATTCTAATTTTTTTCCTTTTTTTTTTTAAATTTTAATTTTTTTTAATCAATGACTTCTGAAACACGAACCTCGCTTCTCTGATTTCTTAATACTTACTCTGTTGAGATTATCTTACATGGCTTAAATCTGCTACTCTTATCATTAATCCCACCACTAAAACCGAGTTTTATTTATTTATTACTCTTTTAATGTCTTTTGTGTTTCGTGTTTTACTTGGTTGATTTTTTTTTTCCTTCTTGAAAATTCCTCACGGCAGGTATAACACCGGCCGAGAAGCTCCTTGAATTATACCACGGGAAGTGGGGACAAAGCATAGATCCCGTTTTCGAAGAACTGCTCTACTGAAGAGGTTGCTCGAACAATCTTTAATGTGCTTCCTATAGAACCAGTCAAATTTCATGCTCTTTTTTTTTCCGTTTTCTTTTCTCTCTCTACCGCTCGTTATCAAGACGCACACTTTTGTGTAGAGTTTTTCTTTCTTGCATCTCAGATTATAAGCTCTTCTGTTTTATTTTTTTTTTCTTCCAGATAATAACAGGACAATTATGCGATGTGCCTCCTCCCCTCGGTACTAAGCTTATGGTATAAAATAATCGGTCGGAAAATGCTATCATACAGACCATGATAGTTAAGTCAACAGATTTTCGAAATGGTTTGCAAGGTTATATTGGTCATTTTTACTTTGCAAGTGAGAATAATATCTTCATTAATCATTTTGCTATTACGAGTTCTCGAGTGGGTGTAGTGCTGCTCTGTGTGTGAGTTGTAATAATAATCTGCATATGATTTGTTTCATATAAAACAAATGCAAGTTGATTTATTTTTTGATCTTTTATGTTTTAATTATTATTTATTTAATTTTTAACCTAAGTCAAACATAGTAATCCAGCCAATGAGTTATAGTGCATGAAACTTAGAGATCCAGCTATAATAATATCCCTTAGTCAATGTGCTATAACAGTGTACCATGTGATTCCATTCTTTCATTTGCCACCCCACCATGTTATTTATACTCCATATTTTCGCGAAAATTATTATCCCCATTATTTGATTCCTTTCGCTAACCATCGATATTCCCACTAACGGGATTTCAAGTCTCGTCGCCCTATGCCGACTCCGCCACTGAATAATACATCGTTGTTTTTAAGGGAAAATAACGCTATGAGTCTATTTTTTACAAGAATGCCATTAGTAGAAGGTCTGGTTTGGTTTGGTTTGATTTGATTATATAAGATATGATTGCTCTCAATTATTGCTCTAGTGATGTCAAGAATCACAATCATAATCTTTTCATGTAATACAAATTGTCCGGTTGATGTTACCTAATAGTAGGGTTATACTTATTTTTTTTTTATTTTTTATTTTTGGGTCTAATACTCTATATATAATTTTATTTATTTATTTTAGATTATTTAAGATGCTGACAGTCTATAACAGCCAATTATCGACACCAGTACTACAGTAGAAATACTTTGATTTTATATAATAACAATGCTGCTACGGCATCGAGCTAATTGAACCATTTGTTTGACATATAGTTGATTTAAATTAATCAAGATAATGTCATGGTTTGTTTGTTACTTGATAATTTTTTTTTCTTTTTTGTTTTCACGCTGAAAGTTTGCACAAAAAGGCGAAATCTCTCGCCCCTAGAGCGCCCCATCTTCTGGCTCGACAGGTTCTTTTATGAAGAAATGTAAATCATGGTGAATCAACGGCCCGTTGTCGCCCACAACTCGATCCTATGACTTCTTGTGATTGTATGCAGATCTACGATGAAAAAAACAGATAGTTCATGTGTCTGGTGAGATTTATACCGTGTGAAGTTTATCGAGTGCAGTACAGAAAAAATCGAGTAAAAAATGTCGTATGAAAAGCACGACAACGACATTGGATCCCGAATGATAAAAACCAAGTCGTGAAGAAAATGAGAGTGAATTTAATAATGAGAAAAGAAAAAGAAAAAACCATATAAATCGACAAAAAAGACAGCCATGGGCTTCAATAATTGAAGCTTCCTACCTATCGCAACACTTAACATGCAAATACTGCTCAAGTTGCCAACCGACGATTACTATGTTTAATCTCATTCTTTGTAATTAAGTAATCACTAATTAAGCAAAGATTAAGGAAAAAAATATCACTAACCTCACCCTCGTCGAAATAAATAAATAAATAAATAAGCTGACACTATTTCGTGGGACATATTCGATATTCACGTTCCACCGGTCACGGTGAACTAGCAAATTTTCTTGTTTTTTTTTTTCGTTCGTTCGATAAGATCTGAATCTCGACTACAGCTTCAACTCTATAAACGAAGAAATGATGAATATATATATCGAAAATTTTGTATTACTTATCACCAATACGAGAAAAAGGAAAGTATATTTTTTTTTCGGAAAAACGATGAATTTCGACAGATACTTTTCTATGTAAATATTTTTTTGGTGGTAATAGAAACTGTTAAAAAATAAATACTGAAGAATAAACAAAATGGATGATGTAAGAAAGAAAGAAAGTAAATAATCAGATAAGAAATATAATTAGTTGTGTTGTCTTCTTCCCAAGCCAGCTCAGAGTTCCTGTTGAGTTTTGACATGGTGGCCGAAAAACATGCCCACATGATATTATTAATGCTAACCTTCAATTATTCATACATCCCTTCAAATTAAAAATATAAAATAAAATAAATAATTAAAATAAAAATAAAAATAAAATAAATATCAAAGTCCCAATCACACACACACACACACACACACACACCATCTCCATTGTTTCTCTTCCCTACAAAAACCAATTACCCTTCCTCTCACAAGTTCTTGTAACCATATTTGGTTTTGAACCAACATAAAACTCGAGTCTTATCGAGCAAAAATAGAAAGAAAAAAAAAAGAAGTGTAAAACGAAAAAAAACGAAGAAAAACGAAAAATGAGAGAAATAGTTCATATTCAGGCAGGCCAATGTGGCAACCAAATTGGTGGCAAGTTTTGGGAGGTGGTTTGCGGCGAACATGGTATCGACGAAGTCGGAAACTACGCAGGCACTTCGAATTTGCAGCTCGAGAGGGTCAATGTTTACTACAACGAGGCTAGTGGCGGTAGGTACGTGCCTCGAGCTGTGCTGATGGATCTCGAGCCCGGTACTATGGACAGCCTAAGAACCGGCCCGTTCGGCAAGATTTTCCGGCCCGATAATTTTGTTTTCGGACAAAACGGGGCCGGAAATAATTGGGCCAAGGGGCATTATACCGAAGGAGCTGAGCTCATCGATTCTGTGCTCGATGTTGTTCGTAAAGAAGCAGAGAACTGTGACTGTCTCCAAGGTATGTTTTTTCAAGAATGTCAATCTTGTTTAAATATTGTTAAAATATATTTCGGAATTTGTGTTGGATTTATGTCTATCTTAAGGAAGAAGTCTTTCCTAGTTAGAATCTCTATATAGGGAGAATGAGTTCTTTCGATATTGTATACAGTTAAACCTCTATAAATTAATACAGTCAGGGCTAGGGAAATTCTATTAATTTAGCGAATTATTAAATTATCGAGTTAATAATTTAACACGCTTTCACCGAGTCGGGACCGAGAGAAACTATTATTTAATCGAGCTTATTAATTTATCGAGGTTCTACTGCATTATGTCTGGCTATTCTATAATAACTGGCTAATTGAATTATGGCTAATGATTCGTCTGCTAAATATTTTATTCGATAGGGTTTCAAATATGTCATTCGCTCGGAGGAGGGACCGGATCGGGGATGGGAACTCTGCTGATTTCGAAGATCAGAGAAGAGTACCCTGATAGGATGATGCTGACATTCTCGGTTTTCCCTTCACCGAAGGTTTCCGACACAGTCGTTGAACCCTACAATGCTACACTCTCGGTTCATCAACTCGTTGAGAACGCAGATGAATGCATGGTTCTTGACAACGAAGCCCTCTACGATATCTGCTTCCGCACGCTCAAGCTCACTAATCCAAGTTGTAAGTTGTCGAAACTCGATACTAATTTCTTTTCTTTTCTTTTCTTTTTTTTGTTTTCTATGAGGCATTTTGACAGTTGGGGTGCAGATTTGTTTATAATTGTTTGGGTAAATTACAAACACCCCCTGAGGTATGATCAAATTACAAAACCCCCCTCTTGTTTGGATAATTACATCTACCCCTCAACTATGATTTTTTCTTACACCTCCACCCTTATGGTGCCAAATTCAACATAATCATCTAGATTCCGTGAAATGTGCTCTAGTTTGTACTCGTTTTGTGTAAAAATACAGTTTCCGATGCACCACAAACTGATATATACAAGTTAAAAATCACATATTATGATCATCTTGCTTCATAATGTAGAGTTTGAATGGGATAAAACGGGTAAAAAAAGTGATAATATTCCATATAATCTCGAAGATTCCACCAAATTTGAGGAGTTGAGGGTGGTTGTAATTACCCAAACAAGAGGGGTATTTTTGTAATTTGACCATACCTCAGGGGGTGTTTGTAATTTACCCTAATTGTTTTTAGTTTCTTTGAGGCATTAGAACAAACAGTTAGCCTACAGAGTGAAGAACTAACCAATTTCGGCGATTGCAGTCGGCGATCTGAACCATCTGATATCAACGACGATGAGCGGCGTCACGTGCTGCCTCCGCTTCCCCGGCCAGCTGAACTCCGACCTCCGCAAGCTCGCCGTGAACCTGATCCCATTCCCGCGCCTCCACTTCTTCATGGTGGGGTTCGCGCCGCTAACCTCCCGCGGCTCGCAGCAGTACCGCGCGCTGACAATCCCGGAGCTGACGCAGCAGATGTGGGACGCAAAGAACATGATGTGCGCCGCCGACCCCCGCCACGGCCGGTACCTAACAGCCTCCGCCATGTTCCGCGGCAAGATGAGCACGAAGGAGGTCGACGAGCAGATGATCAACGTGCAGAACAAGAACTCGTCGTACTTCGTGGAGTGGATCCCGAACAACGTGAAGTCCAGCGTCTGCGACGTGCCGCCGACGGGGCTGTCAAAGTCGTCGACGTTCGTCGGGAACTCGACGTCGATACAGGAGATGTTCCGGCGGGTGTCGGAGCAGTTCACGGTGATGTTCAGGAGGAAGGCTTTCCTCCACTGGTACACCGGAGAAGGGATGGACGAGATGGAGTTCACGGAGGCCGAGAGCAATATGAACGATCTGGTGTCGGAGTATCAGCAGTACCAGGATGCAAACGCTGATAATGAACAGGAGTATGATGAAGAAGAAGAACTCGAGAATTAAATATTATAATAAATAATATTAATGCTGTAATTTTTTTTTTTTTTTTTTTTTTGTTATTATTATTGTGTGAGTGTTTTTTATTTGTTTTTTTTTTTTTTTATTGTTTTTTGTTGGGTTGGATTTAAATATTTTTGTGTATGTATGTATATGCATGAACGAATGAATAATGGCTGTGATTGATTGATTTCTATTTGTACATTTTGTTTGGGAATTCTATTTCACTACTTTGGTGATTTATTTTCAAATGTTTTATAATAATATTTCGTGTAAATTATGGCCACTCTTAAGGTAATATCAAATTACGAGGAAAAAAAACTAATGTTTGGGTAATTAAAATCACTCCATCAACTATGAATCTTCTTTAGTTCAATCTTATGATGTCAAATTCAAAATAATCTTCTAGATTTTGTGGGATGCTCTTTAGTTTGTACTCGTTTTGTGCAATAATGCAGTTTTTGATGCACTGCAATCTGAGATTTAGAAGTAAGAGACACACATCTTGTGATCATCTTGTTTCGAAACGTGAAGCTTGAATGGCATAAAACGGGTACAAACTGGAGAATATTCCACATATTATAGAAGATTACACTAAATTTGACACCGCAAAGATGGACTTTGTAAAAAGATTCATAGCTGAGGAGATGATTATAATTATACAAATACAGTTTCCCACTTTTGTGGCACACCGTATATTCATGTATAGCGTATAGTCCAATGTAGTAAACTATGATGTATTATAGTGTACTATGGTATACTATGCATAATCTCAACAACCGCCAAACCTCATCTACGAAACCCTAGGCACCAATCATCCCCTCCCCGTGCAAGAAACCCGAAAACCGCCGGCAAAAGGATGCCCCCACCAAACGGCCACCAAGAGGGAGGTACGAACGCAACGATTAAACAAAACAAATCCACATATCCAAATTATACACAATTACATTCAGAAGATAGAAATCGGGGAAAGGAATCCAACAGTGGTGAAACCGTCCAATTCCAATCACCAGAACTACAGTTACACCTCCGAGAAACCAAGAATGTGGAACATCTTCCATCAAACGGTAAAACAAACACTTCAACAATCAGAAGATAGAGCACGAATAAACTAATCCAACGGCGGTTAAATCGTCCAACTCCAATAGGTCCAGAAAATGATAAACGAATGCTAAATGCAGTTAGTCCTTTTTAGCATCCGAGCGTATCGATACGGATAATTTCAATCTATTTTGTTGCGTTGCGAAGGGCATCTCAAATAACCCCTAATTATAAAATGAGTTCGGCAGACGAAAGAACAAATCCGATTCTAATTCAACCGAAATCAAGCATTCATTTTCTCGAATTAACCCGATTTTACTAGAATTTCAGTAATTCAAATAAAACAAAATAAAATTATCCACAAATAAATTCAAGACTCAATGAACAAAAGCCCAAGCAGCAGCACTGTACACGAATTACAGTATAGCAAAACCAATCCCTTTTTTTATCAACACAACTGAAAAACCCATTCCAAATTCCAATGCCACCGAATCAAGATTGCCTTATTCGAAAAGCTTTCGATCTTCCAAACTCGACCATAACTACAACCCATATTTAAAAAAAAAAAAAGAAAAAAAAAAAAAGGAAACCGGTCAATTTTTTTACTTTTTTGCCCTTTCCTTTAACCACGAAAAAAATATTGAGCTATATAATTCAGGGGCTGAAATCCCAAAACAAAACATGATTATGCCATATTTTCAAGAATTAGTGGTCCTCTTTTCTTCGAGAATGGAACCTTCTTTAAGTGCAATTTGAGCCTCGTTTTCCCTGCCAAGCGCGAAAAGAGCAGAAGCTTGTAAATAAGAAGCAATATGCCAAACGGGGGATATTACTTGTGCCTGCACTGCATCGTTTAGCGCCTCTTCAGGCATATCATTCATCAGATGCGACAAACTTCGTCGACCGAATACGGTCGGTGACATCATTGTTCCAACATCAATAAACTGCATTAAAAAATAACACGGGATATTAGATAAAAGAAAAAATAGAAAGAAAAAAAAAAGGAGGGTTTTTGTAATTTACCAAAACTTATATTCTTTGTCGTCTCAAATTGATAAAAACAAATCATTTATAAAGTTGTTTAGCTCTAATTTAATGATGGATTTCAAATTCTTGAACTCTTATTTGTGAGTTATTTTCGGGCATTTCAGTGAGGTACGAATCCATCTTAATGAAGTCGTTTTTAAATAATTGATTGTGAGGAGTATAATAGAAGTTCGAACCTGTGTGTAACATTCAATTGCAACTCTGAAGTCTTTATGCCTGAAAGCCGCATCGCCCTTTTTCTTTGAGTTCAACGTATCCTGCATTTGATTTGTCCACATCTGGAACGAAAGCTGCATAAGATTAGCAATTATTCGTTTAGCAGGCTATATATATTGCTTGCTGTTCAATATAATCAGTATAAAGATATCATGTTACAATTACAAACATAGAGAGTTCGTGACTGGTTTTGGTTTTCGGGTTTGGGTTTTCGAATTTGAGTTTTCGGTTTTCGGAACGGAAGCTGCATAAGATTAGCAATTATTCATTTAGCAGACCATATATATTACGTTACAATCACAAACATAGAGAGTTGGTGACTGGTTTCGGTTTTCGGGTTTTCGGGTTTGGATTTTCGAATTTGAGTTTTCGGGTTTTCGTGTTTCGGGGTTTGCAGGTTTTCGGGACAATTGTTTCAAGTACAACCAAACATTGGAAATTTCTGTTAAGTTTATTAACCAGAAACAAACCTCAGTTGTTACTCCCTCGTCGTCTTTGTAACCAAGTTTTTCAATAATCTCGTGTATGGCGGTTAAATCCATTCTTAGGCATGCTTCACCAAGAGCTGATAGAGATAGAACTTCTTCGCCATGAGGTATACCCATTAATGTGTGAGAAGGAACCTGTTAAAAGAAAATGCAAAATTTGATACTAAGAAACAAAAGACTATCCATACTCGATTCTTTCTACGCATTAAATGAATAATCTCCTTATTGGGAAAGAGCCGATAACCTCGGTTTCCTTCTGAAGAGGAATCAATGCAGCAACTAATGATTTAGGATTAGGCCTCTCACGGGGTTCGTACTGTAAACATCTTGAAGCTAGACGAACTAACTCAGTTCCACCATCAGTCGAAAATTGACCTTCCAAGCAAGAATCTGTCAACATCTGAAGGTTCCGATCCTTTATCAAATCAAGGGCCTGCACCGTGGTATTCGATATTAGGTGATTGAATAAAGAGTATATATGATTATTCACAATAAAAGCATGCTTTTTTTTTGCACGTTGTTTCTACACTACTATCGACGAAAATCGTCAAGCAATTTCAAGAGAAAGGGAGCGTGGATACTAACATGACTCGGTGGAATGTGTTTTCCGCTGAGAAGGTCGAGCAAAAGTGTTCCAAAGCTGTAAAATACACTTTCTGGAGTAACTCTTCCTGAAAAAACAGAAGGTCAAATCGGTCATTTAACGATCTCAAAATCCATGGATTGCTGCAAGTATATATAAGATTGACAAGAGTTCACTGCAGCACTGAGATTTTGATCATTTGATACCTGTCCGTAGATACTCTGGGGGAGTAAATGCCAAGTTTGTACTGTAACTTTTTCCGTCTCGACTGTTCTTCATCAAACCAAAGCATGACAATCTCGGATTGCAGTCCTGTAACATAATTTTGCCAATCCTGTCATAATGCAGACAAATGACAAAAAAAAAAAACGAGACAACAAAGTCGAGGGACTTCGATACTTACATAATCAAAGACAATTCTGTAGGCATTGAGATCGTGATAAAGAGCACGGCCTTTGCTCGTACAATATTCTAAAGCTTCTGCAATATATAAAGCAACTCTTAACCGCATTGCCCACTTCATAGGTTGTGCTTCCCCTGCATCAATATTGATATGAACCACATTAATTGAGAAAAAGAACTAACTAAACGAGACGAGGTTAAAAGTAGAAGCAAAAAATAATCTCTTCAACTTGATGAAAAACGGGCATTTTGTCAAATATATAGAAAATATCTTCGGTAAGGATAGGAAAAGCATAGGAAATAAACTAAAGGATATAATGAAGATTTATTTCGAGTTTGTGTGCATAGGTTGCTTTGTTCAATTAAGGCATCTTTTGGCCTAATCAGCCTGCTCATATGCTATCGAACGAACATAAATTTGAATGAGAATAAACAAAATAAATTTTCCATCTTTAAATCTCGTAGTGTAGGCAATAGCTTAAGTTTTTGGATCGAGATTAGTAAGTCATATTAATATGTAACAGTTCGACATAAAGGTCACACTACAAGGATACTGTCGAATAAACTGAAATCTCAAACAAATCCTATGTGAGATGAATTATGATCCAATCAACTGGCTTATCGATATCCCAGACAATTATTTCAGAATAAGAAGCATTACTTATTGGTGAATCTAACGAGATATGGCGTAAAATGTACTTACAGTGAAATAAATGTTTTGCAAGAGTTTCGTGTGGCATAAATTCAGCGACCAATAACCTCTCGTCACCTTCACAACAGCAGCCAATTAAATTCGCCATTCTATGGTTCCGAAGTTGACCGACAGCTTTTGCTTCTTCCTATAATTTATTAAATCGAGTTCAATTGAAAATACAATTAAAAATGTAACTTGTTAAATGAAGGTGAAGTATAAATGCAGCAGTAGAACTTACCATGAATTGACGTGCATCGGGCCAAGCGGACCTGTTAAAACGTTTGACAGCTATTCGCCTCTGATTGTCCATTTTACCCTTGTACACCACATTCGGAGCTTTCTCCCCATGTTCCGAAACTATATTTTCAAAAGCAAATCCAGATGTAGCTATCCTTAGTTGCTCGACCGAAAATTCACGAAACGAAGGCAAATCGCTGATTTCGCCTTTCTCCTCATTTTCTGCAACAAATTGTCGAACTATTAAATTTCATCGTTTTTTAGCAACTGAATAAAGAGAGACGCAAAAATAAAGGATATGGGCTATTGGACAAACCAGCGTTTTTGGCTTCGTTTACCGGTCCGTTATGCTCCGAGATAAAACAACACGAGGTGAATTTCGAACAGTAACAGCCCATCCCAAATACAACAGCTCGAATTCGAAAATAAAAATAAACGAAAATTCAACTTCCACAACGCCGAAAGCACTATTTTTCTTGCTCAAAGGCTATCCATCCAACGTGAAAAACCTAATATATATACACATTAAAGTTACAATTAAATTCAATATCCAATTAATTCAACAGTCCACAAATAAAAACCGGGATGCCATCCAAGGAAATTTCTAGTTATGATGCAATTAAACATCGTAGTGAGGCGGTAGCGGACTAATTTATAACCAAACCCATATTTTGCGGCTTTTGTTCCGTCATTTGCAGATGATGGACGTATTAAATGTTTGCACGAGATGACGATAAAATGACCATCAATTATGCACATTTTGAATGTTCTCAAAACCATTATTTCATTAAAGTATTCCCACGCAATTGAACCCAATAGTCGGCAGCGAAAACTAGCCAATTGTCCCTCGTCTACTTGCGGAACGCCAGAAAACAAGATTGTACGAAAATTAATTACAAAAGGGAAAAAGGAAAAAAACACAATTAACCTACACAGGACCATTACAATTCCATTCGTGTGTCGAAATACAAACAGAAAAAGCCCACCAGTTCATCAGAATTCACAAGTAAATAAAAATAAAAAATAAAATTTTAATTGCAAGAAAGTCACCTCTACACAAGATTCAAATCTGGGTCAACTCCGAGGCAACAAACTAACATTTCCAACTGTGCTGCAACGCCTTCCAAACAAGCTTCCTCTTTGTGCTATTTCAGCTGGGCAATTCAACAAACACAAAGTAAGCATACTCAGTCCATCAAAGTCAATGTCCACAAAAAACCCATAAATAAACATCCAATTAAACCCTGTTTCCCCAACAATTATTAAAAGAATCCCACTATCACAAAATTTAAATTATTAAAAAAAAAATCACAAAACCCATTTCCATACACACAAAAAAAAATATTCTGAAGAAAACCCATATCTGGAAATTGGCAAATATGAAGCAACAAGAGAGAGAAAAACAACCTTAAAAGAGGTTTCTTGACTGAAGCTTGATTGGGTCAAAGCACAAAGTACAAGTTGTTGATGCTCTAATATCTTTGTGTGTATGTGTTTATTTATGTATATGCATGTGCAGGTGTGGCTTCAATATAGTCTCCAAACAGAGATCAGAAAAAAGAGAAAATTGATTCAGGGGGTATATGTATAGACAGGTGAATATATATATCTATATTAAAATATAGATATATATAATTAGAGATATAAAGATAGATACAGATACGCGCAGGCAGATAATCTGTATTTGTGTACTCAGTGAGTCACTGTGTGTGTTTATTAGTGTAGATCTATTTAGAGCTGTGTAGGGTGTAATGTGTACTCAAAATGGTTTTGTTATTCTTTTTTCTTCATTTTCCACCGACATAATTAATTTCCATTATTACATGCTTATTTTATTTTTTTTTATTTTTTTTTTTGCAAAAAAAATACAATAGTTCATAGACAAGTTGTGGGAGGGGGTTTTAACTAAACATGCTTATTTTATTTTGTGTCTATAACTAAATGGGAAATGAAATGTTATATTTTCTTCGTGTTTTGAATCGAAAAAGAATGTGCGACGAGTTAAGTGGTTGCACCTGGAAATTGTACCGATTGGGTTGAAAAATATACTTGGGAGGAAATTAGATTTTTTTCCGGAAGTGTCGATTTCAATCATGGTGTGAAAAAATGGAAATGAAAGAGTCGTTCCGATTTTGAGAATTTCAAATTTTTCGATAATCATGTTAGATCTATGTATTTTGAAAAGAAAAAAAAACATAGGAAATCTATTTTTTTATTAATCATACCACCTTAATATTGTATGCATAACATTATGTATATTTATTTTCATAAATTGTATTTACAAATGCAAATATGTAAAATCATAATTTTTGAAATATTTCTTAAAACTAAAATTGGATCGGATAAAAGAAAATCAATTACTTTATATATATATTTTTTCTATTCTTATCCAAAAAATGGGAAATTTCAAATATGTATAATGGAATTTTTATTCTATTATTTGAAATTTAGAATTTAATCAAAGTCGGAAATTTTATTCCAATTTTTAACCGGAATTTTACCACTCTCTTCTTATCTATAGTTACTAGTTAGTGTCTAAACAAATAGGGTTGAATTAAAGTTCTAACTTCTAAGTATGTCGAATACATTTAAATTTTAAACATAATTTGAGGTCGAACATAATTTGTTACATCGATCGAACTTATCAACTACCTATATGTTTTTATAATTAAAATATTTGACATATTTTTTTCAACTAAACAAGACTAAAAAGCATATTACTTGATAGTTGATCCATCCATCCATATTTTGTATATATTGTTATTTATTTATTTAATTAATGGAGTATAGAGAGATAATTTAAAAAATGATTAATTAAATTCAATTATTTATTCTTAAGACACATAAGACAAATATCAATTAATTCATTAATTTTGGTATGTGTCACCACTAATCTCATGTGTCTCTTCATTTATTCTGGAAAGTATGCACAACCATATCTTATTAATTGAATTTGAAATTATAAAGTCAAATGTACAATAGTGATTCCCACTATCTAATTTTTATTGGTAAGAATCCATCAATATATATTATTTTTTACATATATATGACTAGATAATAATATATAAGATGTTTATGAATCAATATATAATTATATAATATCCATTTAAAGTGCAATTTAGTCCATCCTTCCCATTTTAACGGTCTTTTTAAGCTCGTGCACACCTATTAGAAAAATTAATAAACGTGCACAAATTATCTGACAAAAAAAACTATTACAATGATTACCAAAATAGTAAAATACATCTTTCATTAGTTGTTTCATCATTGATTATCTCTTAATAAATAAGACTAATAAAAGTACAAGGAAGATTTTTTTTTTTTTGAAAATACAAGGAGGTCATGTTCGTATATTAAAAGTACAGGGGGGTGAAATATGTAAAAAAATCAAAATAGGGGGGTTAAGTGCTATTTATCCTTTATTAAATGCACCTAACTTGGTTCTGGACTGGGCTCAAAGTGGGCCCTTTTTTCTTATCCAATAAAATTTGAGAAAGGCCCACTTATTATACATTAATTACACTAATTTAACCAAGTTTTGTGCCCACTAAATTTCAAAATTCCCAGTAAATTCTCAGTCTTCTTCGCTTCCTCGTTTTTCCTCCTGCAAAAGGTGACAAAATTTCTTCCTCTCTCTCTTCTTTCTCTCTCTGAGCATTCATGAATGTATTTGTGTAGTACTTAGTCCGTACAACTGCTGTTTGTGTGTGCATATGTATGAATATCTTCCAGAAATTACAGTGTACTTCAGGTGTTCGACAAAATGCCTCACTGACAATATATATGATTTCTGCTTGTAGAGACTTTCTTCACTTCTTGAAAAAAGTGAATTTTAATTATATTTTTCGTGTATGATGCTAAGGTTGGGCTAATTGGAATACATAATACAGATGAAGTACTTGAAGCCAATGAAATTGTACCAAGAATTGTTGAAATCAAATGAGCTGAAAAGAAGCCGTTTGCTTGGTTTGGATGTCGGTCGTGACACCTCGGATGCATTAGAGCCAAAATGCCCGTA